ACTCACTTGGAACACACTATGCAAATTCCTGATCCAATAGTAGAACGAAAAAAACACATCAATAGTACATAAATTAGATGAAGAAAGATATATTCTTGGTCAAGAAAACAGGAGGAGCAGACATTAGATCCCTTTGTAGAATGCTGGCTACGGCCTGTACGATGGCCTAAACTAGCGCACATACACATCATGGTGGACAGCGCACAGAAAATCTCCAAGTATCATCATTGAGAGTGGAAGACAGCGACATAGTGTCAAGAGTGGACTGATGATGTGTCATACAAGGGTTCTGCCTAGAGAAGGCATTAGACAGAGCTAAACCAGACCAGGCAAATGGAGGTTGATATGTAGTTGCCATCACTGAATGTAGTTGGATCGGTGATGCAGGAAGGACTGCCGAAGGTGGAGGTTAAGTAATTGACATAGCCTCGACGAATGCAAGAAACTCTAAAAGCTTATACAATGAGAGAGGATCCTGGGTACAAAGAATACCACAAATGGTTATGGTTGGCTGAAGAGGGATTGATGAACTGGAGAAATGAGTAGGCCAACGGCAGCCTCAGATCAAGGCTATAAACTTTGTTCCAGATTGTTTCCACTACATGGTCGTAAGAAAAAAAAGTGCATAATGTGAGACTGAGAGTTATAAGAAAAGATAGTGAGTTTTACACAAAAAGTACTTTGTCATGCTACGAATTGTATTGCACCCATATTATCGGATAGGTATTGTATCGCACATCGCCCTCCTCTAATGATCACCACATCACATTTCCACTCCTCTAATGATATTCTCTATGTTCCATGGCCCCACTGATAAATAGTTAAGGCAACTTGCTAGGCAAATGCTAAAAGGCCCCAGCATTAGTGAACCCTTGAGGCAAAACCCTTGTGGTGGTCTGGTTGGCAAACTGCCTAAAGTGCCAGGCTAGTGATCCAGGGAGCTTGAGGTGACGGGATCGAGCCCACCTGTGACCGGGTGTAAAAACCTTGGAGTCAACTTTGTGTGCAGACTCTTTCAGTGTTGTCACAACCCCTGGTTTACAGTACACAACCCTGTGTACTTAAAAGAACCCACGAATCTGTTGGTATATGACCAGATGTGGACACATGAATACGTGCAAACACCTAGTTGCGGGTACAGCAACGTGCAGTAAACATGGACAAAGTACTGTGACCATGTGTCCCAGTCCACCCAGCTGTGAATGGGTATCTCTTAAGGATGGGAAAGCCACACTAACTCTGTGCTCTCAGTGGCTGCAAGAGTTGCATGCTCCCCAGGGAGTTGAGATTGATAATATGACGTGCTGTTGAGATTGACATCCAGTGATTGAGGGAAAAAGCGCCTTTGAGCGTATGTATGTATGTATGTATGTATGTATGTATGTATGTATGTATGTATGTATGTATGTATGTATGTATGTATGTATGTATGTATGTATGTATGTATGTATGTATGTATGTATGTATGTATGTATGTATGTATATAGTATGTATGTATGTAGCATTACTTACATAACTTACCTTTGCAGTATCCTATCTAAACATGGTACAGGAGTTGGTGTATTGTCATGTGTACATTTGTTGCATATGCTGATTCCCGACAACCTCTGTCCAAGTGCAGTGGGTTCTGCCTCCAAGGTGGGAGGTTTAAAGGGAAGTAAAAACTCAAACATGATGTGAGAATTGATTTTCTTCAGCACTGGCACAATCTTTGATGTTTTCCACATTTCTGGAATCACATGACTATCAATGGAGAGCTGGTACAGTCAGCAAAAGACATTACACAATTGTTTGCAGCAACATTTCAGGATTATTCCGCCTAAACCATCTGGTGTTGGCGCTTTCCTTATGTTGAGTTTTGAGAACTGTAGTTTCACTGTTTCTAGTGTTAAAATGATTTTGTCTCCATCTTCACTGCTTATCACAACTTCCCATTCATTGCTGAAGTCATGTGTGTCAAATCTAGCATAGAAGGTGTTAAGATCTTCACCATGTCCCTGGTCATCTGTTGTGTTGACTGAGGATTGTTTCTTGGAACAACCGATCATGTTCTTCACACCTTGCCATGCTTGACGGGTGTTGTAATTCAATCTTCACAATACAATATATTGTGGCACACTTTTCGCAAACTGGTTCATCTGATACGCTCTGATACTGCAGATGCTTTTTTCTCGAGTTCCAAACTTTAAAGTGAAGTCTTCAGTTCGAAAACATTTTCAATTGATCTCTTGTACAATCACATCTGAGTGCTGACAGTGGCCAGTGGCATAGTTTCAACACGAAGGAAACAGTAATTTCATTACTTTAAACCATGTGTTACACTTTCACAATATATTGCAATACATATTGCAATACACCAACACATATCACAAAATATTGTGATACGAAAATTTGGGCAAATTCCAACCCTAGTTCTTAGCACAAAACAATCGTTTCTTCTCATTGATCTAATGAAAGAGTTTCAGTTCTTTTCTTACCCAAGGCTTGTTGTTGGGGACAATCCTGATTACCTTATCAGGAGTAATACTGTTGACACAGAAGTTGATGCAGCTAGTGATGGTATCAGTAATCGCACACGGATCGTCGAAGTTGTTGAAGAACATGTCCCAGTCTGTGTAATCAAAACAACCTTGATGTCGTTGTATAGACTCGGGATCCCATGACTTCACACTTGTATAGACTCGGGATCCCACGACTTCACACTTGTATAGACTCGGGATCCCACGACTTCACACTTGTATAGACTCGGGATCCCACGACTTCACACTTGTATAGACTCGGGATCTCATGACTTCACACTTGTATAGACTCGGGATCCCATGACTTCACACTTGTATAGACTCGGGATCCCATGATTTCACACTTGTATAGACTCGGGATCCCATGACTTCACACTTGTATAGACTTGGGATCCCATGACTTCACACTTGTATAGGGATCCCATGACTTCACACTTGTATAGACTCGGGATCCCATGACTTCACACTTTTAGTCTGCTCCTTCTGAGTCTTCAGTATCTGCCTGTATAATGGCACGTGGTCCTGTGCATAGAGCTCAGGTTACAAATCAGTTGAAGTTAAGCAACGTCGAGTGCTTAAAGGATTTGTGACCTTGTTTGGCAGCTTGACTCCTGAGAGTTTCTCGGACCTCTGTCCTGCCCCACAATGAAACACATGTAATACATGTGGTCTCACCTTAGGCAAGGGAGTTTGTTCAAAATTGCCTCTGTTCACCCAGCAGAAAAATGGGTACCTGGTGGGATAAGTGATGTAAATGTAACCTTCCTGCACCTCACAGGCAGCTTGGGTTATGGAGGGTAATAGTCATCAGATTGTAACAAATTTGTAGCGCTTTGAGAATGCACTAGTGCATGGAATATAGAACAAACTTTATTGATAACAACTTTGAATGAACTTCTGGGCATCGGGAGTGATTGAATCAAGTTTCTGGACATGAGTTTGTACAATAGAAGCAGAATGGTTGTAATTGGCTCTCGGTGAGATGTAGACAAGAACGACAAATATATGTCAGAATTCACGGGGTAGATAAGAAGGTCTTAGGTCGGAGTTCAGGGTTTGGGGTGGACCCAGGACCGATCCTTCGCTCAATCCATCCCTAGCTGCTGCTGCTTGGCTGTCTATTTTCCAATAGAAGCCACTTCCAAACTTCGGGTGCTCAAAAGAGCATTTGTAACATCGCCGATACCTGTATCATCTGTTTAGGGTCCAACGGACAGCAGGCCATTAATTCCCCTTCGCTTGGCCCTGCGTCCGCCTTCGCCTTCCACACCTGGCCTTTGTGCATGATCACTGTTTCTGGCTGAATTTATGACACATAGTAATCTTTATATCTGTGTACATAACTATGCCTAGCATACAATTCAAATGGTAAATCATCCAGGGTTACGTTATCTCAGATCTCATTTACTATCACCTAGTCATTTACCTAGATATTTACTGTGCATAATAATGACAATTACTGATAGTTTCCTGTTTTAAATCTTGTTTGCAACAATCAACTCAAGAAAACACATGTAAATTTGGACGTGACGCTATCCTTTGTTATGAGAGACAAATTCTTAGTCTTTGATCCTCTAATAGGTGTCGCTTCATGCAACGCAGCAAGAATATCGAGGAACACACTTATCACTTGTTGAAATTATAGACAATAATAAACATATTTCTATTCCCCAAAGAAATAACTCATCCATATTTTGATGCTTCAAAGTTGAAATTTTGTTTCACTTTAAAGATCGAAAACCGTCAGTGTCATTTCCCTTATTTGACCTGACCGAGACAAAACATCCATTGCAAGTGCAGGTTGAGATGGGAATCACACAGTGTAAGTACATAAACAACAGGTCTGTGTATTTGCAAGGAAATTGTATCGCAATATATTGCAAAACACGTATCAGAACCGTGATACACAATGCTATATATTGGGAGCTGTCTGACAGCGAGTGACAATGATTGCACATGCAGATCCTACTTTCTGCATACTAAGGCCCCAAAAACTATGTTGTGGTTCTGAGAACAACAACCTCAAAATGGAAGGAATGAAACAGTAAACCTGTCAGCCTGCTTCTAAGTTATAGAACTGTTTTCCATCAAACCACTGATGGTGCCATATTTTTGTTGCCAAATATAATTACAAATAACTGACTGAGTATTTTGGGGGGTTCACTGAGGTATGAGTGGAAAAACTGAAGATTTGTTTCATTCATACCTCAAATATCTGAAATAAATACAGTCACTCCATATAAGATATGTCTGATTACAAAATGTTCAGAAAATCCTCCTCAGGTTTCAGGACAGGATGTTCCTATAATCACAAAACGACCTGACATCGCACTCTGTACTGAGAGTGGTCCAGGCATCGGGCTCAGATAGTTGGCAGAATTAGAGCAGACGTTCTCCCACCTCATCCTACTTGAAAGAAGTGTGTTCAACATGTACTATTCTCCATATGACAAGGTAATGTGAGGGACATTTTCTACTCACCAGAATAATGTCACTAGACCAAGACTCGCTGACTTGACGGAATACTAGGTCCAATATAAGTATTTCACTCCAGGAGTTTTGGAGAAGCTTCATCTGATCTTCCACCTGCAAGAAAAACAGATATACGTGTCAAATACATGGCTAGCAATAGTCAATGAATACAATCAGGGTACAGAAATTATCCCCTACTATCTCCGATACATATCAACATTTGATAAAACTAACACTTATCTGAAGAAAATCTTCAGAGTCCCGTGTCACAAAGTGATCATTCGCTAAAGTGATCGTCGATACCATGCTATAATACAGACTTACAACAGTCGTAGCGCTACGATCGCTCTGTGAAATGGGTCCCAGCTCAACAATAAATGCAGACATCAGTCATACAAAAATCACTCTGCTTAAGCACCCTCGGTATGGAACAGCTGTGAGCTACAGCGGTTGTGATTCTCCATGGCAGATCTGTTACTTTGTGCAGGAGAGTCTTTCCTCTTGGATTGCCAACATCAAAATATGGGAATATAGATGAGAAGTTAAACTGAAGACTCTAGTATGTATCATCACAATATGAAAAGAGGCCTCATTGTTTCATATGATTCAACGTAACAAATATACAGAGGGATGTCTTTACCAGGGTTTTATGTGAGGTACAAATGTTGAGAATGGACGCAGAAAAGAAATACACTGCATCTCGATACAATACAATTCATTCCGTCTACAATGAATCAAGAGCAGTTATGGGTGACTGTCATTTCACCCCTTAGTCAAGACTACTGTCCATATGATCATTGACTCCTTGCAGGCTCTAACACTAATATAATATCAAAACGTATAACACACTACCACTGTCTATCAGAAATAGTTTGGTCAGGATTAATACATTTAAAGTCTTCAAAAGATTACCGGTAATGGTAAACATGAGGAAGATATTTCCAAATTCATCATATCAGTGACCAAAATGGAGACATACGCTATTCCCTACACTAACTTGTATCATATGTTTCTGTGTTTGTGCTGCTCAACAAAGGACTAGTCTTTGCATGAGTGACTGTTGCCCTCCATAGGGTAGGATATGATGACCTTTTTGCAAAAACCTGGTAACATCACTATTTGCTAGTAATTCATACACACAAGATATAGATGGAATAGTAGAATCAACTCTGTTTAGCAAAGATTTCTAATTACTGTAAGAGAGTTTTGTTCTTTCACATACCAATCATTCAAGTGTTTTCTCCAATGCTCAACAAAGCATCAGTTAACACAAGAGTTGCAGAGACGACACAGAACTATACAGACCACTGTAAAGTAGGACTCCAACTTGCCACACAGACCCCTGTCATGTACAATTCCAACTTGCCATACAGACCCGTCAAGTACGACTCCAATTTGCCATACAGACCCCTGTCAAGGAAGACTCCAAATTGCCATACAGACCCCTGTCAAGTACGATTCCAACTTGCCATACACAGCCCTTTCAAGTACGACTCCAATTTGTCATACAGACCCATCAAGTACAATTCCAAAATGCCATACAGACCATTGTTAAGTACAACTCCAATTTGCCATGGAGACCCTGTCAAGTACGACTACTGTCAAGTACGACTACAATTTCCCATACAGACCCCTGTCAAGTACGACTCCAATTTGCCATACAGACCCGTCAAGTACAACTCTAACTTGCCATACAGACCCGCCAAGTACGATTCCAACTTGCCATACAGACCCATCAAGTACGATTCCAACTTGTCATAAAGACCCGTCGAGTATGATTCCAACTTTCCATGCAGACCCATCAAGTACGATTCCAACTGCATTACAGACCATTGTCAAGTACGATTCCAAGTTCTCATACAGGCCCACCAAGTACGATTCCAACTTGTCATAAAGACCCGTCGAGTATGATTCCAACTTTCCATGCAGACCCATCAAGTATGATTCCAACGATTCCAACTGCATTACAGACCATTGTCAAATCACGATTCCAACTTGCATACAGACCATTGTCAAGTATAATTTCACCTTGCCATACAGACCCCTGTCAAGTATAATTTCACTTTGCCATACAGACCCCTGTCAAGTAAGACTCCAACTTGCCATACAGACCCCTGTCAAGTACGATTCCAACTTGCCATACACAGCCCTTTCAAGTACGACTCCAATTTGCCATACAGACCCCTGTCAAGTACGACTACAATTTGCCATACAGACCCGTCAAGTACAACTCCATTTTGCCATACAGACCCATCAAGTAGAATTCCAACTTGCCATACAGACCATTGTCAAGTACGACACCAATTTGCCATACCTACCCCTGTCAACTACGATTCCAACTTTCCATACCGACCCCTGTCATGTACGATACCAATTTGACATACAGACCCCTGTCAAGTATGACACCAACTTGCCATACAGACCCGTCAAGTTAGACGATTCCAACTTGCCATACAGACCAGCGTAAATCACAAAAGGAAGCACTGTGGGATAACTGCAGTGACACAGCACTGTGGTCCACAAGTCACCGTTGACTTCCCGCGTTACATGACACCAAATTGATCTCAAAAGCAGTATGTTGGCAATTTATTGTCAAATAAGTCAAATTATCAGTAAGTCTATTATGTGGGTCTTGGGGATTGTGATTGGGGAGAATAATGTGAAACTGGTGCTATCTCCGTATGAGCCAATAGAGGACCCTCCTGATCATGGGAAGCAGAAGTTGTATGTGTATAAAATGAGGCAAAATAAGCATTCAGGTATTATGTGTTATTTTTAATGTTTACTCTCTCTAACCCGCTGTGTTGCATCATGCAAACATTGTAAGTACTTGGATGATGGCAAGTCTTTGTGTTAAAGTTGTCTCTTATAAGTTAGTACGTTTCACTGTTAATTTGATAAATCAAGAAAACCCCAAACATTACTTAAGCATCTGAAAGCCCATAATATGAGTGAGTGAGTAAGTTTGGTTTTACGCCACTGTTAGGACGATTTCAGCAATATCACGGCAGTGGACACCAGAAGTGGGCTTCACACATTGTACCCATGTGGGGAAACCCATAATATGAGAATATGTACAATGACCATGTTTATTGCCATCCACACTGAACTTTGCTAGTTTACAACATGATTAACTAGAGCAGAACAGCGGATTTCTTGACATAGTAGTGCATCATCAAGTAAAGATGTCCCATGCCTCTCGACGGCTAATGAACAAAGAAGTGCCTCTAGCTGTCCAATGAGAGGACATTCCATGCCTCAAGCTGTTTAATGAGAGCAGAACATCCCATGCCTCTGGCTGTCCAATGAGCCTCTGGCTGTCCAATGAGAGTAGGACATTCCATGCCTCAAGCTGTTTAATGAGAGCAGAACATCCCATGCCTCTGGCTGTCCAGTGAGCCTCTGGCTGTCCAATGAGAGCAGGACATTCCATGCCTCAAGCTGTTTAATGAGAGCAGAACATCCCATGCCTCTGGCTGTCCAATGAGAGGAGGACATTCCATGCCTCTCACTGTCTAATGAGCCTCTGGCTGTCTAATGAGAGCAGAGCATTCCATAACTCTGGCTGTCTAGTGAGAGCAGAACATCCCATGCCTCTGACTGTCCAATAAGCCTCTGGCTGTCTAATGAGAGCAGAACATCCCATGCCTCTGGCTGTCCAATAAGCCTCTGGCTGTCTAATGAGAGCAGAACATCCCATGCCTCTGGCTGTCTAATGAGAGCAGAGCATTCCATACCTCTGGCTGTCCAATGAGAGCAGGACATTCCATGCCTCAAGCTGTTTAATGAGAGCAGAACATCCCATGCCTCTGGCTGTCCAATAAGCCTCTGGCTGTCTAATGAGAGCAGAACATTCCATGCCTCTGGCTGTCTAATGACACCAGAACATTCCATGCCTCTGGCTGTCTAATGACACCAGAACATTCCGTGCCTCTGGCTGTCTAATGACACCAGAACATTCCATGCCTCTGGCTGTCCAATGAAAGCAGAGCATTCCATACCTCTGGCTGTCTAATGACACCAGAACATTCCATGCCTCTAGCTGTCTAATGAGAGCAGAACATTCCAAGCCTCTGGCTGTCTAATGAGAGCAAAACATTTGATGCCTCTAGCTGTCCAATGACAGCAGGACATTCCATGCCTCTAGCTGTCTAATGAGCAGAACATTCCAAGCCTCTAGCTGTCCAATGAGAGCAGGACATTCCATGCCTCTGGCTGTCTAATTAGAGCAGAACGTTCCATGCCTCTGGCTGTCTAATGAGAGCAGAACATTCCATGCCTCTGGCTGTCTAATGATAGGTATTTTACTTCAAGATGTCAGAACGAGTTCTCTGACGGGTTTCTCATTTTATGAAACATTCACATAAAGAAAATGCTAAATTGCACTTTCTCTTTGAACGTGAATTGTAAAATGTAGAAATAGACATATTACTTACAAATGTAAGTAGTACAGTTCAAAATACACCAATTGATCTCTATTTCACTTGACACAATCTGTCCATATTGTAGGAAACGTAGGCACCTGGAATACATCCAGATTACTATCTGACTGTTGGAAACGAGAAGTTATCTTTGTCTTTTAGTCTTGTGGCTCCCTTTTTGTCATAAAACCTTCATGTATACATCTTAATATAACACAGATAAGGTGGTCCTCACTCGTCTTCTTTATTTATAGTTCAGGCTCCTTAGCACTGTGACTACAGTATGCCTTTGTTCACATATAGGAGTTACGATTATCTTAGTCCTAAGATAGGTTTCTGCTTAAGAGCCCAGATGGATGATACAACAGTTAACGGGAATTGGTTATTTGACCAATCAGATGAAGATATCATTATACCTGAAGCTTCAAAATTCACTTGGCAATGTCAATCTAAGCAGAAAGTCTGATACACAAGCATATAGAAACAGACCAGCACTATGGGGAGCACAGTTGGTGTTCATGGAGAGGATTACTTGTTGCCTTAATGTCTCACCTAAAACATTTACACACATGCTTTCAACGAAGAAGTCTGTCTTTTCACATTTCTGTAACTCATAAAACATCAGATGACATTAATTTTTGTTAAATTCTTCTCAGAAAATTGACATGTAACAGCAGTATCTTCAGTCATCAC